AATCTTAGCAAACAGAATTCTGCAATATATTAAGAAGATCATACATCATGACCAAGTGGGTTTCATCCCTAATATGCAAGGTTGGTTCAACATCCACAAATCAATTAATGTGATACACAACATCAACAAAAATAAAAATAAAATTCATATGGTCATATCAATAGATGCAGAAAAAGCATTTGACAAAATACAGCAGCCATTTATGATAAAAACCCTTAGCAAAGTGGGAATAGGGGGATCATATCTCAACGTAATAAAGGCCATATATGATAAACCCACAGCTAACATCACACTAAATGGGGAAAAGCTAAAACCATTCCCCTTAAGATCAAGAACAAGACAAAGCTGTCCACTTTCTCCACTTTTATTCAACATAGTTCTGGAAGTTCTAGCCATAGCAATCAGACAAGAAAAATAAATAAAAGGCATCCGCATTGGCAAGGAGGAAGTAAAACTGTCATTATACGCAGATGACATGATACTATATAGAGAGGACCCCAAAGACTCCATCAAAAAGCTATTGTAACTAATAGACGAATTCAGTAAGGTAGCAGGATACAAAATCAATACTCAGAAATCAGCTGCATTTGTATATACCAATAATAAACTATCGGAGGGAGAAATTAAGAAAACAATTCCGTTCACAATCGCTTCAAGAACTATAAAATACTTAGGAATAAATTTAACCAAAGAAGTAAAAGACCTGTACTCTGAGAATTATAAGACACTGCAGAAAGAAATAAAAGAAGATACAAACAAATGGAAAAACCTACCATGCTCATGGATAAGAAGAATTAATATAGTTAAAATGTCCATACTGCCTGAAGCAATATATAGATTCAATGCAATTCCTATCAAACTACCTAGGGCATTTTTCACAGAAATAGAAAATATAATCCAAACATTTATATGGAACCAAAAAAGACCCCGAATAGCCACAGCAATCTTGAGAAATAAGAACAAAGTTGGGGGAATCATGCTACCAGACATTAAAACGTACTACAAGGCTACAGTAATCAAAACAGTATGGTACTGGCATAAAAACAGGCACATAGTTCAATGGAACAGAATAGAGAGCCCAGAATTAAAACCAAGCATATATGGGCAGTTAGTCTATGACAATGGAAGCAAGAATTTACATTGGGATAAAGATAGTCTATTTAATAAATGGTGCAGGGAAAATTGGACTGACACATGCAAAAAAATGAAACTGGACCACTTCCTTCACCATATACAAGAACAAATTCAAAATGGATTAAAGACTTAAATATAAGACCTGAGACGATAAAACTCCTAGAAGAAAATATAGCGTCTAAATTTGCAGACATTACCATGAGCAACATTTTTACTGATACATCCCTGCAGGCAAGGGTAAAAGAAAAACTGAACATATGGGACTACATCAAACTTAAAAGTCTTTTCACAACAAAAGTAACCATCGATAAGGGCTGGCCGAGTGGCTCAGTTGGTTAAGAGCTTGTGCAAGAGTGTGAGCTCTGAGCAACAGTGGTTCGATGCTCGGCCCAAGCTGAGTAGCTGCTGAGCTGCCAACAGGTGGCAGGATGGCTCAGCTAAAAAAAAAAAAAAGTAACCATCGATAAAACAAAAAGAAAGCCTACTGAATGGGAGAAGATATTTGTCAATGAGATATCTAATAAGGGGTTAATATCCAAAATATATAAAACGCTCATGCAACTCAACACCAAAAAAACAAACAACCCAATTAAAAAATGGGCAGAGGATA